AATTCATATGGTTGTTAAATTATATATCTCACCATATATAAAGTTTAAAACGTTGAGTATGTGAGAAAATATATCTTATTTTCTACTTTAAGAAAATAATGTATCATAAATTACTTCGTTACTATGAAACAACATGATTTGGAGTAGTTAAAATTTATTAACTAAATGATATATGATACCAACAAAGTATAATATGATATTAGCTAACAAAATAAATCATGTGTATAATGATATACAAAATGAAGTACCAAATAAAAGTTAAGATTTTAGTAAACAAGCTAGCTCGAACTCGACTCGGCTCGTTAACGAGCCGAGCTCAAACTGGGGTAAAACTCAACTCGACTGGGCTCATTTGCAGCCCTAATCGCAAGTAAGGATTCAGAAGAAGAACGTCCAGTTCCTATCACTCCGGAGATGACAAATACTAAAAATAAAACAGACAAACCTCAAGCTCCACCGCATATTCAAAAGCGCCACCCTGAGACTCAAGTCATCGACAACATAAATGAGGGGCACAAAACTCGAGGTAAGTATACCCCTGGCCAGTATGCCTTTGTGTCTAAAGTAGAACCTAAGAACTTAAGGGAAACCTTAAATGATGAGAATTGGAATCTTGCAATGCAAGAAGAACTTACTCAGTTTAGCTACTTAAACGTTTGGGAATTGGTTCCTAGACCTATAGGAAAAACAAACATAGGAACTAAGTGGGTCTATAGAAAAAAACAAATGAAGAAGGACAGTTTGTTAGGAATAAAGCTAGATTAGTAGCTCAAGGTTACTACCAAGAATAAGGAATAGACTACGATGAGACTTTTTCTCTCGTAGCATGCATCGAGTTTATCCGCCTTCTATGTGCTTTTGCTAGTCATATGCAGTTTCCATTATATAAAATGGATATGTTAAAAGTGCTTTCTTGAACGGTGTAATCCAAGAGTAAGTATATGTTGCTCAACCTTCTAGCTTCGTCGATTATCAATTTCCTGATCATGTTTTTAGATTAAACAAAGCGCTCTATGGTATTAAACAAGCTCCTAGAGCTTGGTATGATAGGCTGACTAGCTTTCTTAAAGAAGAGGGTTTCTCTCAAGGATCAGTATATAAGACGTTATTCATTAAAAGATCCTCATCTCACATGCTTATTGTGCAAATTTATGTTGATGATATTGTTTTTGGTTCAACTAACCCTACCATGTGCTCAGAATTCTATGAATCTATGAAGGCAGTTTTCGAAATGAGTATGATGGGTGAATTGTAGTTCTTTCTAGGGCTTCAATTCAAACAATCTGAGCATGAAATCTTCATTAGCCAATCCAAATATGTTTAGACTATGTTGCAGAAATTCGAGATGGATAGTGCTAATACTAGTCCCACCCCTATGTCTGTAAACTTAAAATTAGATAAAGATGAACAAGGTATAATAGTTGACGAAAAGAAATTTAGGGGAATGATAGGATCCCTGTTGTACTTGACAGCAAGCACACCTGATATTCAGCATAGCTTCTGCTTATGTTCTCGCTTTCAGGCTAATCCTAAGGAAAGCCATCTCTCAGTTGTCAAACACATATTTAGATATCTTAAGGGGTCAGATGATGTTGGTATTTGGTATCCTAGGGATAATGTGTTTGACTTAATGGGTTATAGTGATTCAGACTTCGCTGGAAGTCTAACAGATAGGAAAAGTACTAGTGGCACTTGTCAGTTTGCAGGCACGTCCTTAGTCTCCTGGTCCTGTAAGAAACAAGGACTAGTAGCTCTCTCAACTGCTGAAGTGGAGTACCTCGTAGTAGGTAGTTGTTGTACACAACTTCTATGGCTTAAAAACCAGCTTGAAGATTACAATATGTCTATAAATTCCATTCCTCTATTTTGTGATAACACCAGTGCCATTTGCATGACAAAAAACCCAGTGCAACATTCTCGGACTAAGCACATTGAGATAAAATACCACTTCATCCGATAATTAGTACTTGAGTAAGTCATTACTCTCAAATATATCCCTACTGAGTTTCAACTTGCAGACATGTTTACTAAACCGCTATCTACAGATCAATTTGTTTTCCTATGCTTTGAATTAGGTATGCGATCCTTTGAGAATCTCAAGGATATTTTCAAACATTAATTGCTCGTAGTTGCAATCTTTCCTTTTCTTGTGTTGTTTATTTTTGCTTCCTTTTTTTGTCGGTTGATTTGCTTGATTTGATAGTATTGCCTTTTCTGGTCTCCTGAGTTCTATAGGGTTGTTCTGCTATTAGTTTATATAGTGTGTGGTTTGTTTCATGTCTTTGTATCGTTTTCCCTATTTACTTCTTGTGTCTTCAAGATGAACCAAGCTTTCGCCCACTCCTTCACTGGTTCCTTGTTCTTTAAGCCTGTTGCCCTGGGTCATCATCGCCATGCTCTGGCGTATGAAAATCGTGACGTAGCCTTACCTGTTCAAGTCCTTCTTCCTAAATTCGTGGATTTTGGAATTGACATCAGGGGCTTCATTCATAATCTCGGATGGGATTCCCTCCTAGAAGATCTGCCATCTCTTGTCTGCCTTGCACTGGTTCGATTTTTCTATTCAAACCTTCATTCGTATGGGCTTAGATCCGGGTGTTTCTCTACTGTTATGTTAGGTCATCTTGTCGCCATTTATGTAGCTGATCTTGCCCAAATCCTAGAGCTACCATTTGTAGGAGAATCTCTTTCCCATGCCTCCAACTCTGGCTGTTCAACTTCGATGTCTCTGAAGAGTTCGTACAGCTGGCTGGTCTCTATCATGGCCCTGATCTCTCTTTACTTGTCAACCTAGTTCTCCCTCATTTGCAAGTTCTTCATTTTGCTATTACAAGGATATTTGTGCCCCGAACTCAGGCCCTCGATTGCATTTTACCTCTAGATTTGTGGATCGTGGCTCATGATGTTTGGGGAGTCCCTCTATATTATTCCACTCTTATCTTTGGGGTGTTCCTCACCTACGTTGATTCTTCCTACCCTGGTTCCTTGCCTCTTTGACCACTAATCACTCGCCTGGCGATTCGGCTTGGTGTATCTATTGCATCGTTTTGCACCGAGAACCCTACTTTCCTCATGCTGACAGATCAAGTTCTTGATGAGTGCGAAATTGCAATTGAGGGGGTGGGTTGCAGCTGTTGAGGACGAAGATAAAGACAGTGATGAAGATGGAGAAGCAGATGACTCGGATGAGTTTCCAGAAGCCAATGATGATACCAGTTCTAAAGATGGCGCTCCCTTGTTTGCTGCTACAGTTGCTCGACTGTTAGTGCATTATAGCTATGATGAGGACTCCATCGGAGTTTAGGTTTCTTTTGTTGAGAGGGAGTACTCTTCTGTGACTGTTTGAGAGGGAGGTTGAGTCTTTTTGGTTGTTTGGTTATTTTGTCCTTAGACTTTTGTTGATGGATGGTTTGGTTGGTTGATGCTTGTTGCTGATTGGTTTGGTTGTTTGTTGCTAGCCTTGTTTTTTGTTCTCTTGGTCTTGTGTTTTATGTGTTGTCTTCCTCTGTTGCTGCAGGTAAGCTCACTTGCAATCACTAATTTAGAGGAAGATTGTTGGAAGAAATTGGAGATTGTGTGGTCACTTTTGGAAAGTGCCATTTATCAAGAAATCTGTCTCCAACGTTCAAAATCCAAAATTGCCGCCAGAGACCAAAATCAGTGGGGATTCTCCAACGACTATCTTCCTGCGGTGACTATTGAAAGGATTTTGTTCCTTTGTATTTGGTACTTTGATCGGATAGAAACTAAAGTGGTATAGGGCTTTGGGGATCAAAGGGATTGTGTAAATCAGAGGTATAGGTTCTGATTTAGCAAGGTTGTACTGGAATCTGGGCGATTCTGTTTTGGGAATCACGGCTGTGAGTTGTGTGTTGGCATCTCTTCTCCTCCTCTACTCAAATAAAACTCTCCTGGAGAATAGCTGATGTTGATATCTGGGATGTGGAAGTAACCATTGCACAAGGGTGAACCACGTTAAAAAAACATCGAGCCTCGTTTACTTTTATGCAATTTGTTTTCTGTATTTCAATTTCCTTTCGTGGCTGCTGCTCTGTTTTTTGTTGGTACTCTGTTTCTCTGAAACTCAATCTAAGACACAGTAGAGGAATAAACAAATTGCGTGACAAACTGTTGGTTAGGGCTACTCTTTCTTGTATCGTTCCAGGCCCAATTCTTTGTGTTATATTGAGTGGGCTTTTAGTGTTAAAAGCACATTGGAAGTAGTAAGATAGAAAAGCAGTTGTCTGCTAGTTTATCTTCTTCCTTCTCTTGTTCTCTTCGAGATTTCTTCTTTGCTTCACTTCGGTAAAATTTTTAGAATCGCATTTCGATCTCCTTTTACATTATGGTCTTTCAAAGTTTGTCGAAATCGAAAAATTGCTCGTTCGGGGTAGCAAAAGACAATTTTTTTTGGGATGAAGGCAAGATGAAGATTGAAAGATCTTGAAAAGTTATGTGGAATAAAAAAAAATCGCTTCGATCGGATAACCGAGCTCAAAGTTACATTCGTTTAAAGTTTCAGTCTTGGGTCAAGCCTTCACCGCGGTGATGCATTCACCGCTTTCGTTTGCCGCAATACATTCACTGCTGTTGACATCCGTAGTGATGCCCAAACATGTGTAGATTGTGAATTTCTCATACAACGTGTGTATTTTGAAATTTTTTTAAGAACATGTGTATTTTTCCGCCAAACACCGGCTCTGGATAATCCAGAACGCCAACGTTTCCAGCGTGTATTTACAACAACTCTTCTTTCTTCTTCCTTTGCAGCTCCTTTATGTAATCAATTCAAGTTCAAGCTGTTGCTGCTTTGTCCTGTTTCTCCATTACCAACTGCACAATTCAAACGCCTAAAGCTTAAGAAAATATGCAAAGGAACAAGTTGAAACGAGTACAATTGCAGTTCATACATTATAAGGAGTAGAACTACAGCTGTATACATTATGCAAGGAACAACAAATGACATTATGCAAGGAACAACTTATCAATGCAGCCGCTCAGAAGGTAAACCTCTTTTATAAACCAATCATTCCTACAATTTTCACATGGCGTCAGAATCTGGTTAAAAAGGATGCTAGCCAATTTGAGGAAGGAGACTCTAGCTTGTTGCAATAAGTAAAAGCAAGTGAAAATAATTCCACTACATTCATAATTCTCTTATACACTCATCCATTACCAGTAAGATAACGAGACACAATGTAAATGTGTTACGTCACTGGCTTCTCATCGAACATGCATCCAAATAATGGATATTCGCCTTCTCCCCTATCTCATTTCTAAACTTTGTATTACAGAGGGAAATATATGAAGAATAATATCTTCGATCTTCATATGAAACCGAGAGGCTCCCCATTCGTCGTGCTGAAGAGAACAAATAGGAGACTCCAATCGTTGGTACACACTGGCAGAGCAGGATCTCTTTGATCCTATGAGGGGTCTGTCATTTAACAGTCATCAAGAGCAGAACAATCTAGAGAACAAATAGCTATGGCATCCCTGGAAAGTATCAAGCAAAGGAGACGTCTGGCATGCTTCCTCGACAGGACGATCGGCCCACTGTTTTAGTATAGTCTCAGCAATGGCTGCAACTTGATGTTGCAACACAGCCGCACCAAGTGGTCCTACTAAATTCAACCTGGTTGCAGCAGATATGGAATCTCTCAGTGTGATAAACAAGTAACCCCTTTGAGAAGTCTCGGGATCCATCCCTAGAAGTCCACAAATGAGGCCAAACACAGGAGCATGGTGGAAGTGAAAGTTCGAAGTAAGACATGCATCTCTGGTGGTTTTGAGAGATGGGATTTCTGTGAAAACTGATGCAGCCACTCTCATCAATGCGGATCCTTGTGAAGTAGATGCCTTCCTGCTAACCTCATTGCTTAGAGTCGCATCCAGCAGTGCGTCCAGCTTCCGCAAGTTATCTGCACTTGGATTTGTGGTGGCAGAGTGAATGAACGGAAGAAGCAGGCTGGCAGTGTTCTCCAAAAGATGAATCAGGTGGGTTCGAAGTTCGTCGGGAGTGGAGACTATACGGGCTTGAATGGCTGCTTCCAATCCGAAAGAATGAGCAAACCCACCAGTAGGGAGAATGGAATCAAGCAATTGCCACTGGCTCCAGTCCATACGAATGCTTCTTGAATTCGTTGCTGAGTCTATTTCTATGCCACCCCCCATTGCAGATAACCAAATCACTCTGTGTACAAACACAACAATTAGAAAGAAAGAAAAAAACATTCAGGAATCACTGATGGATGCAACAGATGGAAGAAAAAAAAAAGTGAACGTCTTTTCCTAATTTGCTTAAGAAGGAAATCCTCAACCGATGCCTAGAAAGCGAAGCAACCAACACACACCTTTTCTACATATCTTAAAACCTACACACTAGAACTCCAAAAAGCCAATAGCTAGCAACAATATTCAGACAGAATCCAGATCGAGGAATGCAAGCAGCTCCACGATTACCTGGCTGAACTTGAGCGTGCCCTGCTATCCCTGTCGATCTTGATTCTCCTCTTCTCTGTTCTCTCTAAGCTCAAGCTTTATCGAACTCTGAATCTCGAGGTTTTAGGGGAGGGTTTGGGGTTGAAATTCCGGGAAGGCAGGAGGGAAGAGAAGAGAGTAAAGGGAGGGAAGGGCAGATCGGCCGAGCAGAGAAAGAGAAGAGAGACGGAGCTTTCGAGTGCGAGCGAGGGTAGTCTCGTGGCCGCGGGGAAGAGGACGACATTTGTCTTTTTTTTCTGTTGCATTTCTCGTAGGTCTACATTTAAGGGGTCGTTGGAAGTTGTTCATGTGATGTGACATAAACTATCACTCATTTTGAGTGATTGTTATAGGCAAAATACACTTGTATAGAAGTCTAGCCACAACTTTAGCGTTTGTGACAATAATAGCCAAATTTGAAGAAATACAACTTATAGTCATTTCCGTCCAATACTTTAACGGTGTCATCTAACAATCTGACTAGACTAACGAAAATGCTGACAGGATAGACGACTTTGCTGACTTGGCATTATTTCAACATGTGGAAAAAATAAAAATTAAACCCTTTTCTTCATTTTATCACTCCTCTCTTTCCTTTCTCGAGAACCCCTCCACCGGTCAAAACAAGGCCATCGCCATTCGTCACCCTTCTTCCCCCAGCCATCGCTCCTGTATCTACACATAATATAATACACCGAAGGGAAAAACGGGAGCCCCATTTCAAATTTCCTGCAATGAGAGTGAAAGTAGGAAGGACATTTTGGTCTTCACAATTACTTTTTTTTATTCATTAAAAAAATACATACTGGGATTCAATCCATGACCATTTTAAAGAAAGGCAAAGATCATAACCAATCACACTAAATACATTTGTTGTATCTTTTTAAATTAAAAACATATAATAGCAGGGTGGGAAAAACTCTTCCCCTATTTCAAATTTCCTATTCCAGGAGCGTTTGTAGGAATGGTGGAATAGGGAGTGTCAATTTTTTTCTCTTTCCTCTGTGGAACGGGCCAACTTACCGTACACATGCGGATTTAAACGGGTCCAGGAGTGTCAATTTTTTTCTTTATACCCTTTTATTTCTCAGTGGTGATAAAATATATATGAAAAGGCAAAAATAATACTCCTTTTTATTATTAAAAATAAAAAATTTAACAATAAACTAATGCATGGTATCTAATGGGCTAACCGCTAACCATAAAACAAAAGAGTTGAATGAGCCTGACCTACATGGGATTTGGTCATCAAGTAAAACAAATGAACATCATTGGTTTGCCATTCTAAAACAAGCTATTTTCTCTGACATAATATATATATGCTATTATTTTATATCTTAGTGGCTAAAATATAATGTATTTTAAAGTTATTCAATGGTTCAACCTCGACCAACCCAATTAGTCCAATTTTTATCATTTCAAATATGTATTTTATAATTATTTGACATCATAATGATCAAATTATAGTGTATTTTATAGGGAATCGTTTGGTATTTGTTAGTAAAAAACTAAACATAAAGATCTATTTGGTTATTTTAAACATTAAAACGATCCTAAACATTTTCAGTTCCTTTTGAATTTATATGGTTTTATTCCCAAATAAGTGATGTGCAAATGGCGAATTGTAGTCGTCTCTTTTCTTTCACTATTTATTATTTTCAAATAGAAAGTTTAAAAGTAAAGAATAATTAGAATTTGGCATGGGTCTGTCAAACAAGTTGAATTTCAAGTTTTGGCCTGTTTGTTTTATGCATTGCAAATTTATTAGCATGTTGATGGAAATAGCTTGGAAAAAAGACATATAAGTTGTACCTTTGCAGAAATGTCCTCAAATGTTTGAATGCTTTGTGAATCAGGTTCTGTGACTTTTGTGATGGTGTATGTGCTTGACGATTGCTCGATGTTGTAACTACTTAATTTGAGAGTAAATCTTTTGATTTTCCCTATGAGTTGTGATACCAGTTCTGGTGGTTGCAGCATGTTGTCGTTGTTGGCCTGTAAAAGTTGTTCCGTCGTGATGCTAAATACCTTTCTTTCTTTTTTAACAAATTGTGTAGTAGTGCTATGAAACAGACCACCCATGAACGCTACGCTTATTATGGTCTGTTCTTACTTCCGGTGGTGAGAAATTGTGAATTGAGAATCATATTCGCCTACCGCACTGTGTCTGGTTGGTGGCTGCTTACTATGCTCTCTAGAGTTATGAAACAAACTACCCATGAACGTTACCCTTAAGAGTCCATAACTTTGCGAAAAACCAAATTTAGGCAATCAAAGGTGGTGGATGTTTGATGATTTTTTATGGCTTAATTGTTTGTGAATTGGATATCTGATCTTTGTATGATTAGAGGGGATGTTTGCTTAATAGAATAATCCATTTTAATTCATATTTATTTTTAACATGAACTTTAGTAACTCAAAACCTTCGAGACACATATCACCTACTGCATTGTATCATTTTGCCTGGGTGCTTGCTGTGTTGTCAAACTTCTTTGCTGCTGCTGCATTTACACTAACAGGGGAGTTAAGAACCCATGAATGTTTCCGTTTGACACAAACAAGAGGACTTACTTCTAAATCGTGCACTAAAGATGTTTGGAGGAAACATCTCTGTTGCAGTTGATACACTGGAGACCAGAACAAAAGCAACGTATAACATCAAAACCAACCATCTGAACTATTAGCATTGTTGCTTTACTCTTTTTTCGTGGTTGAGTATCTTTCAAAAAATTTAGTTTGATTTTAGAAAATTTTGCTTCTGCAGTCCTGTCTTGCCACCAACGCGTTCAATAGATGGAGATGGCAGAGGCGAAGGCTATTTTTGTGTTGTTGTTGCTGGTTTAGGGATCAGTTTGTGAAGAAGAGGGAGAAGAGAGGGGGAAAGGGAAATGCATGAGAGGGGGATAACTCTTTTCTCCGACAAAAATGGAGTGAAGAAAGGAATTATGATCAGTAAGGATATGGTTATCTTACATAACTGTGTCTATTCTGTTTGAATTGAGCTTGGGAGGTAGTGATAAGGACGAGCTGCAACCAATTCATAGTGATAAGAGTGCTATGAACTGTGATCATGTATTATTTCAAGTTAGAAGGTAGTTTCAGTATAAGGATTATTTAATTTGACAAGTTGTTTCGTCCATGATTTTTGGTAGTTTCAGTGCCATTCTAGCCATTGTTTAGTCTGTAATTTTTGAGAATTGATGTGCGAGTAATGACTTTCACTTAGCTTCAACTATTATGTGTGTATTTATTGGCATGTGATAGAATTCTCTTTTCCTTTTCTTTGATATCAGTTTCATACTCTAATTGTATCATTTGTACATAGGCAAATCATGCTCGAGATGACAACTCGCCGATATGGCTGGTGCAAGGAATGAAGCCATCATTAAAATTCAGACCGACAACGGGGAGGGATGCCTAGGACTAATTCAACGATGATTGATGATGGTATGATAAAAACTGCAGTCTGCATCAGCACCAATTTCTAGGACTAAGTAAAGTTATTCAACCCAGAACTCTGCTTAACGCTAAAAATTGCCCTCACCCAACATTGATCCTGTTTGACCCACTTCTGAAGAGTCAAGATATATTACTAATTCTCTCTGTTCGTATTTTCTTATTGACTCTTTCTGACCCTTTAGGTTGGGGCGGGTCGGGAAGAATCAGATTAGTTGGTCGGTCCTAATCAAGTGGAATCACAATCCCTTCACTCTCACTTGCTTTCTCTCCCATTCCACAAGTGGGTAACATACAGTAATCCGGCCAACGGGACGGGTAATAAGCCAGTGAGCTACAATAGGGATGCAATTCCATCTTATTCTTCCAGCTCATAAAAGATGACGACAATGTTAAACCCTCTTCTTCAACCTAACTCCATATCCTTCTTCTTCGACAAAAAATCTAACTTAGTCAAAACCCACCAAATCCCTAACTTCCTACAGATCCATCTTCAAACGTCGCCTCCCACCCCTTTCGCCTTCCATCTTCTTCCACAGAATTAGCTTATAAATACCAGTCTCCAAAATACGAGTCCTGCTGAGTTCTGAGTCAGATCCAATTTCCTCCCAATTTTCTCCCCCAAATTAGATCTATCCCGCCGCAGCCGGCCTCGATCAAAGAGGAGAGCCTGATTCTCTTCCTCCGACCACTGTTTCTTCTTTGTCGGCCTGGAGTAGAGCGACTGTGATCCCCTGAGCATTCACGATTTGGTCCGGAGATTAAGTTATCACCTTTGTGCTTACTTGATCTTGGTCTTCACAGCCGCCGGCGGAGTTGGGTAAGGGATACCACCTTGTTTGAGTTACGTCGCACTGAGCTCAATTTAAGGGACTCAGCGAGACTTGTTCAAGCTCCGCCAACAGGGGAGCGACTGTTTGAGTCTCCCGCCGGCTCCCCCTACCACTGCTGCTTCGTGCGCCTCTTCTTTAAATGCTGAGCAAGGATGGTCTCCGGTGAAGGTAACATATTGGAGATGGTTAGTTCCCTTCGTTGCAGCGACTGATAAAAATTTGGGAGAGAAAATATTTTTTTTTGGATCCATGGGGAAGAGGAGTCCGGTGGGGAATCGAAGGGATAGGGCGGCGTGGTGGTCGAAGTTGCTGGTGGCAGAGGTTCTCGGGAATAATCTTGTTAGGATGGAGGAAAATGTGTATGAGCATATAAGAATAATAAGAATAAAATAAATTATTATTCTAAAATCTAAAAAATAATGTTTTATTATGATGTGGCGTCCGGGTGGCATGACGTGTCTTGTTGGAGCTGATGTATGAGTCGAGATGGCATCCACATCAGCATCAAGTTAATGGTACTAACGGAGTTACTAACGTCGTTAAAGTTTATGACGGAAGTGGTTAGATTTGTCATCGATCATTTAAAATTCGTCACAAACGTAAAAGTTATGGCTATACAAGTGTATTTTGCCATTGTTATATCTCAACTTTTAGTTGTGATTGTTGAGATAGTTGAGTTGAGATTGTTTTGTCTCAGCTTTTAGCTTATGCGACATACACAATCACACATACCAAACGTTGTATTTTACAATGCATCAAATTCGACAATACATGTATAATATTATACATGCATTCTCAACAATACATCTATTTAACAATCACAACTTCCAAACGACCCCTAAGTTAACTACCCCTAAGTTAACTACGGTGAGTGCAAATTTCGGGGTGGGAACGCCAGCAGCAGTTTGTGAGATTTCATCGTTTGTGACATGAGAGAGATAGTGGTTGCCTGCTAGGAAAATCCAGCTGTGAGCTTTTGATTTTAAGAGCGGTGAAAATGAGTGATTCGAGTAGTTTGCTCGAGTTTGTGTGTCGAATTTCGATAAAGATTATTACGATTATTGGAGTTTGCTGATGAAAAACCTGTTCGAGGTCAAGGAGAAAAAGCAACCGTTAAAGAACTAAGAGACTCTATCAAGAACAAGTTAAGTGTAGTGCACTAGTGCTACAGTCCAGAGGGCTCAAGTTCAGTCATCGAGAAGAGACTTCGAAGTACTGCAGATGAAGGAGGGTCAATCTGTTAAAGAAATCTAGCTCATTACCTTGCCTACAACATACAATTGACTGCGCTCTGCAAAGAACAGTGCCAATATTGCGAGGAAGGTAAAGGTAACGGGTGCACGTAAACGTGAAACTAGTTGTAAGTACAAAGTGCACAATTCAAGTGCACAATACTACAATTACAGTTTATTACACAAATATATTGTAGAGTACAACAGCTTTAGTTAGACAATATGTGAGGATCAGCAGCTGAGTCACGCAGCCCACGGCCAGCAACTCCTACTCGATCAGTGGCATGTTAGTTAGCAACTCTGTCCGCATGAGGAACTAGTTTGGATCCTGCTCTTATACATTCTACTACCATAAAATTCACTCTAGTAGATAAACCGCTAAGTTCGAAAAGGAAATGAAAAAAGCCTAACCTCACCTGTAAGAGTAAGACGTTCACCCCCAAGGCTTCAAGAATTATCATAAAATCAAAGTTAAGAAACCAGACGTTCAAAAGAGTTAGGGGACCGTTCGAATAAGCACGATAGAAGTCCCATCATTCCCGTTTCCATGGGGTGAGCAATGTCCCTTTCGCGTCTGTGCAGTACTCTTACAAACTCCTTTGAGCATAGATGCCCATCACGGTCAATGTCAAACACATGGAATATGATATCGACCACATTATCAGATAGTGGAATGTTGCAAACCTGGCCAATGACAGATCAAATATTAGGTTAGCGTAAGATGGAAAGCTCGAAACAGATGAAGCAGAACAGAATTATCTTTGTAACATAAAACAGGGTTTAAGTTTCAAATACCTGAGACGAAGCTCGTTGGAAATCCTCCTTGGTTAGAAGGCCATTTACTTTCCCGTAACTGAAAAGAGCCAAAGAGAATGGCCTTAGCTGCTTACGCAACTCCACAAAGTTTTTGAATTCCTCGAAAGTTATTTGCATCTCCCGAAGGTTCACGTCATTGTCTAAATCCTCCACCCGACCAAGTAACTTGTCTAAATGGCCCAAGTCAGCAGAAGCCACCATGGAAAATGCAAAATCCTTGGCCAATAAGGTCCCTCGTGATTTGTAGTCATAGTGAGCAAACTCCAGTCTCAATATCTGATAAAGTAAGCAACAAACAGTCTGTGATCACTTATAAAATCCAGAGAAGAACTGTTCGAAATATTAATTGATTCCAGAAAGGCTAGAACCATTCTCACCGCCAAAGGGAGAAGCAAAGTAACAGGCTTTAATAGACAAAAGAATCGTAACATTGTTCATGCACTTTAGCATATTGTTTAAATGAGGACAGTACAAAAAACCAAAGGAAAGAACAAATTACTAGGACATGCTAGATGATTAAGATCAAATCAAGTGAAAGCATCATGCAGATAGCTCACTTCAATTACATTAGCACTTCGGCACTAGGTAGATTTCACTTTCTGCAAATTAAACGCTCAAATACAGTATAGAACATGAGGAAAAATGTTTCATCCTGGCAGCAAAAGAAACCCACGAAGCAACGAAACTATATTAAACCACAAAGTGAGGCTAATTTCTAACAGTTTCAGTTCCAAGGGAGAAGGCAAAAGATGCTGAAGTTTACCTCATCCTGTAAATTCGTCATGAATTGCATAAAGTTATCACATTGGAGCAGTTTAGTTCCATCACTGCCAAAGAAGTAGTCCACCAAACCTCCGTTCTCCACACAACCACTAACCTTAAACCCTGTCCTTAGTCCATCCCTATGTACTGCTCCTTGCCTGTTATGAGCTCGCATCAATGCCATCACTTTCTTAAACTCTTCCTCGTCAATCTCCCTACATCAGGTCACTCACTGAGTTTCAGGACACTAATAAAACACGATTCCCCAAATTCAATCTAGACCGTTACCATATTCATAACACACCATGTCGCCGTATTCAAACCAAGAGAATGGCAGCATGTACCTACCCGCTGTTGTCAATGTCGAACATCTTGAACGCCACAGAGAAACTCGATTCTGGAATACTGAGCAGCGTTACGAAGAATATATACCTGTCGCGAGGAACAATCGTAGAAAACACCACTTTCAACGCAGCGTGAGAAGGTTACCAAGCAACTCTCAATTCAAACATACAGAAGAAGAGCAATGTACTGTGAAATAAGAGGAAACGCACTCTTTGAAAGAGATAAGGCCATCATTGTTCACATCAAAAAGCATGAAGAACTCAGAAGGAGCACAGCGCAATTCCCCGGGGCTCCTTTCCCCTGTCAAATAGCCTTCTCTAATTAGGTTGGATTCGGATGGAGGGAAAACGGGAACAACTGCTCGCATCAAATCATCCGCCGTCATGAACAGTTCTCCATTCGGAGCTTTGTGCGACGCGAAGTACTCGAACACCTTCACCGGAAATGAATGCTTCTCTCAATTTCAATCTTAAGATAACAGTCGGTGTAATATTTCATCAATTGCAAAACCAGAAATCGCACCTTCTCCGGCGGACTCCGCAGCCTTATTCGTTTCTCGTACTTGAAGAAAACCTTTCTCCTGTACGAATCTAAACAAAATCGATCGTTACCTCTTTTGAACTCCAATATCATTGATGGCGGCAAATGGCAATAGTTAAGCAGCTGGTGGCCAATGAAAAACTCACCTCCGACGAGGAATTTCGATTTATACTCCGGTAAAGAAAGTTTATGAAACAAGGAGGATTTTGGACGACAATCGCCGACGGAAGTAGTTAGAGTTTCATCGCCGCACGCGACAGCAGCTGACCGGTCAAAGAGGGACGACAGCTGCGTCTTTAAGAGATGAAAATCGGTGTGATCGGGATCAAGAGGCGGTGACAAGTAGAATAATCCGCCGAAACTTACGGCGGATGCGGCGGCGGAAATCCACTTGAGCAGGGATCTATTCCCTGGATTCTCGTTAAGCGGAGAGTTAGAGGAAGAGCCGGAACCAGCGGTGTCGGCCAAACTCAGCGTAGACACGGAGGAGGACGGCGCAGGAGAGCTGGAGAGTTGGCGATAATGAAGACCGGAGATTTGACGGAGTGAGTATGAAGATCTTCGGAGAGAAGGTAAAGAGGCTGGCATGGCGATCGGCGAGGATGAGTGAAGAATTTGATGATGCGGAATTGAAACAAACACAGAACACAAAAGTTTTACGTGGTATCCTCGATCGATTGATTGATCGAGACTAATCCACGGTGAGCTCTTCTTATAAGAGCTCACGACTGATCTCTTATTAGGATTACATCTTGACGGCTTGCTTACGACAATCTCGTAGCTAAGCTTATATAGAGATAGACTAGAATTAAAACCCTAACGAGAACCAAGTTCCCTCTTTTACCCGGACAAGGAAACAAGGGACTTGTTGGACAAGGAATTAATTACATTTTGACTAAGTAATTAATATCCTCAACACTCCCCCTCAAGCGAAGACAGACTGACAAGAATGTCGAGTTTGAAACTGAACAACACTCAAACAACCTTTTGCTGGCAATGACGATTCAACAGGTTGTGATTTTGTTCGCTTGTGGGAGGAGTAGACAAATGATGAAATTACTCCATGCTTGACCTAGTTCCTTTGACAGTGAACTCAGCATGGTGAAACTCCTTGACGTCGTGGATGAGACTGATCCTACTCCATGCCTGACCTAGTTCTTTGACAATGAACTCGGCATGGCGGAATTCCTTGACGTCTTGGATGAGACTGATGACTGCATTGCTGACTTTGGAGACTTCTACCTGCACTACTGACTGTGCTTCTCCATGCAACTTGACTGATAGATAGACACGGTCGACTTGATGACTGAACTAGTCGACCTATGATTCCCTATTCCCCCTCAAGCTGGAGCATGAACGACGTGAATACCCAGCTTGAAAGTTAGAATGGTGAAGCCTGAAAAATGATCGATTCTGAACACGAAAAGGAACGATCGTTTCTTTGATCGTGACTGTCTCGCACCTTGACTTTATTTCTTGACGAAAACTTTCCTTTCTCCAACATTTATTATTGATGAAGCACCAATACTTGGTCGTGATTACCTCCAACGTCATGAATTGAGCTTGTTGAAGATTTTTTTTTTTACATGACCTTGATAATGTTGACCTGGTCGCAAGGAGGGATACTTCTCCACAAAACACCCAGGGTGTAATTGGCTGCTGGTGAAGACCGGATATGACCAGCTTCAAGATGGAAGCCAAATTATGGAACTCCAGCTAGACACATAACCTGGATTGAACAGAATGACTCAACTGCAACAAGCAACAATCTCCACCACCAACAGTACGATTTTCAACGATGACCATGGAATCCCTTTGACCAAACGGACTGTGACCAACCATTCTCCCAAACTGAATTAAACAAACGGCACAAGAACTGATCCAAGTCGATGAAACAAGCAAAAGTTTTTCTTCCTTGCCTTGCTGTGACGTCAGAGAAGGGGTTCTACAAAGCGACTTCCGAGACGGGAAGTTGTGATAACCTTGAGTTACAATATTATGAGTACTTAGCTGGAGATTGATGCACTTGATGAGGATGACTCGGTCTGAGTACTTTGCAGAGTCCGCCGTTTCTCCTCCTCTTTCTTCTCGCCTTCTCTTTCTCCTCTGCTCGTCCCGCTGCAACCAGACACTACGACCAGAGCTACGGTTGGCGGCGTTGATCGATGGCTAGAGTGAGACGTGAGCGACGATTGATTACTGGGAGATGAAGAAAACGGATTGGACTGTCGGAAAAGGAGCTGACGACTGGAGACCATGTCGGCGACAGTGGGGCCGAATCTCTCTCCCGATTGTGATGATGACGACGACTTGGGGTAAAGGGTCGGCTGATGACAAGCCATCGATGGAGTTGCAGCTGTGACGTGTGCTGCCTTGAAATGACGGAAGACGCCGCCGTCGCTGACATTGGCGGCGACTGTGAGGAGGGCGCAGGCGTTGATGGGTGACGACGGCCAGTGACGAGGAGGCCACTGATGACTGAGCTGGCGAACCGCCATGACTGGACGGAAGTTGTGACTTGGCGACGATAGGGATTGATTGCTCGTCTGGACGTCGACTATGGACAACCGAGCAGTTGGAAGACTTGATGATCATGGACAGTAGCAGGGCATGATTTATGAGTAGACGATGGAGTTGACGACGACCAAGAGACAAAATAGCCACAATTGCGGAAGCTCAAAACCCTAACAAGGATCGAGTTTCGCTCTGATACCATGTCATAAACCAGTTGGTCCCAATAACTCGAGTTGTTGGGAGAAGGTTATGCTGGATCTTATACAGGTCCGTGTATGGTACTTAACCACTTCCTTACACGCCCCCTCAAACGAAAGCCGACCCATGTGCTTGAAGTTTGCACAGGCCCACCATACCATGTGCTTGAAGACAACGGTTAATATTGGGGGTCGTGAGGACTTGAACACGTGACCTCAAGGACAAACCAGCTCTGATACCATGAAGAATTTGATGATGCGGAATTGAAACGAACACAGAACACAAAAGTTTTACGTGGTATCCTCGATCGATCGATTGATCGAGACTAATCCACGGTGAGCTCATAAGAGCTCACGACTGATCTCTTATCAGGATTACATCTTGACGGCTTGCTTACGACAATCTCGTAGCTAAGCTTATATAGAGATAGACTAGGGTTAAAACACTAACGAGAACCAAGTTCCCTCTTTTACCCGGACAAGGAAACAAGGGACTTGTTGGACAAGGAATTAATTACATTTTGACTAAGTAATTAATATCCTCAACAATGAGAGCCGGCAGTTGAGGCAGCTGGAGTAGGGATGGGAACAGGTATGAAATGGGGCAGGTACCATCAAATCCGTGCCCTGCCCAACCACATGCTGCCCCGCTCTGCTTCGTGCTCCGGAACGGGTCAAAAAAAGTTGCGCCATACAAAATCTGTACGGATCGGGTAAAATCTGTCGGATCTGACTTTGCCTACCAAACCAATATTACCGACAACCAAAGGTAGGGATGAAAATGGGTCGGTCGGGGGCGGATAGTGCATATTCGTTACCCTACCCAATGTAGTTCGGGTTTTACCCATACTTGTTCCCACTCGAGAAACGGGTAGAAAATCAAAACCATGCCCATACCCGTTCGGGTTTCGGGTATCCACGGTTATCCATGGGTAATAATTTCTCCTTATAATTCCAACCAATATGTTAACATTCACACTTATATTCACATTACGTAAGAGGAAAAGTACGACAATAATTCACTAGAATGACGAAAATTAATTAAAACAACATAATTTCATGAAAATATTATATTTATATGCTAAATATAAAATATTCTAGAGAAATATAATGATTATTTCTAGACAAAATACATATGCATATGCATGTGTATAATCGGGCGGGTTCGGGTTGGATAATGAGATAACCATGCCCACACATTACCCGCAATATTCGGGTTCGGGTTTTACCCGTACCCACGAAAAATGCTTCGGGTTCGGGTTTTACCCTACCCGATTAGGTCGGATTCGGGTGGATATCCACGGTTACGAATATTTTTGCCATCCCTAACCAAATGCTCCCACCTTTTTTTATTTCTATCTTAAGCGCTTTCCAATAATCTGCTTTCTCTCACCCCATGACCCCATTATATTTCCCTGGGAATAGCAATTGGTGATTGTGGAGATTGGGTAATTAAATGGAATATACACAGACGAAACCAGGAGGCGTGAAACTCTAAAAGGAATTTCATTTGATGCATAATTAATTGAACTCTCTATTCTCTCGGTTGGCCATTGACATCTGTGTTTCTCTAGATATATTGTAGTTGGAGAGTTCAAGAAACATGAGAAAGCCTTGCTCTCTTGTTAGACGAGCTAATGAATAAATAATTATGGGTATAAAACTTAGGTAGTTGGATTGCAAGCGGGGGCGGAGCAAAGCGGGGCAGATTACAGAATAGTATCCATATTTGCTCCGTTCTTCTCACGGGTCGGGGCAAGATCCGCTCTATTTTAGAACGGGTAAGATAAAATTTGCCCCATAACGGAGCAGGTCGGATAAAATCCAGCAGAGCGGATTCAAATTGCCATCACTGAGCTGGAGAGGGGAAAGAGAGAAGAGACTTGGCGGTTAGCGATCATAAATGCATAGGTGAGATGACAGTTCGTAAGTTGAACCCACGAGTCCGATAGGCCATTGCAGCTAGTAGCAAAACGAGGACTAGCCTCTAGCATTTAGTAACATGTAATATAACGGTTAATAAATGGTATATGATTTACAATTGAATATTTTTCAATAATTCGAGTAAGTAGTGAGAGTAATTGGTTCTTGATATGATATCATAGTCTTCTATAACCGAGAGCTCTTCCATTGAGAGAGATTCAATTATGAATTATATACCGTTTATTAAAACACACCCTCAAACTCAAGCAACTCAAATAAACTTGAAATTTGCACATACAGCTCCGAACACCATGTGTTTAACTGAAACAGATGAGGTCATACAGACCAAGCAACATTAAATCCTAACCTAGTTCCAATTCGATTTCAAGCACCTGATGGGCCCACGTGGTTGAACGGAATTAGGCCTGAAGCCCAACAAGGAAGGTTAGTCCTTATCTGTCTTTCTTTATGTCGTTGTTTCCTTCAGTTGGTTCGGAGAGATATGCTTAGGCCCAACCCAGTAAGGGAATCGACAGGCGGGTTGTGATGTTAGGCGACTGTTCGTCGAAAAGACAGGAAGGACCGCCTGACATAAAGCAGTGATGGAGACGGAGAAATCGACTATGATCCACCTCGTTATAAACAAGACCAAGCATTAATTACCGTCGTAGACGGTTCTGTACGAAATAGAGTAGGTTAAGGGCGCCTGACATGGCATTTAATGCCCTGAACCCATCCCCAGTTGAGTATAAATACCCACGAGAGCATTGATGGTAAACTCAGCTACTCTCTCTCTCTCTAAACCTAACATATTCTTTCTTCTCTCTAACTTAATCTTCGGAGGGTGTCCTGGACAACCGCCCACGGACCCTTGTTTCGCAAGATTTAGGAGTGCGTTCCCTCACCAAGAACAGACACTTCACTCGTGCTCTACACAAACCGCTTAGTTCTTTCTAAGCTCAAACAACACCAAACTCAACAGATCCGTGGAAAATTATCAATCTTTCCCCAAATTCTATCATCAAAACCCAAATCTGCCCCCTACTTACTGAAATATACATCACCACATTAAGCTCCCAAAAAAGAATCCTCAAAAAACACTATTTCATTTCATTCAGGTCTTCTTGATCTCTCCACCTTCTTCCACCACCTCCTAATGAGCTGCCCTTTGTTCAAATTCATGATGATTCTCCTGCTCTTGCTTTCTACCCACCCAGTGCCGCCTTTCTCGGTCGTAGATAAGCCAGAAGATCAAAGATAAGATAACTACAGTGGAGACTATCACCACCGCTACATAGATCTCCATGCTGTACTTCCTCAGTCCAGGACAATGCTCCCTATGTATCTCACTGAACGTCTGCCTAGCAAATGAGCAGTCTTCTAACTGTATCAAGAATGGTGCGTAGTTGATCAATCCATAGCTAACGTTGATTACAACCTCCATCTGGTTGTATATAGTCGGTGTCAATCGCCCCGTGGTTTCACATATTCCTGCTGCTGAAACCTGGCATACATAGTTGCTCCACACCTGAGGAACACACACGCAACACACGTAATGTGATGCAATGTAAGAATGTTACATAGAGTTTAAGAGAGTTTGAGTTTTGATGAGGCTTACCTGTGTGGCATTGTTGAGATCGACTTCGCCAAGGCTGCAGGCGCGATCTGTCAAGTCAGCATGAAACGGGTTGCTGAGAATTGGGACCAAGGGATCGGATTGGTTGATGTAGAGTGGCTTGAAGTTTGGGGAGAAGTTGATGTTGGACATGTTGGTCATCACTTAGTTCACTACCTCGGCTAGTTGGGAGGTGACTTCCTTGCTCTTTGCCAAGGTTTCAAGGGCAGTTGTGGTGTCGACAGAGGGCAAGATCTCATCTAGTGCGGTGTGAGCAGCCAGGTTTTGAACCCATTGATCCATTGCAATGCAAGCATCACCAGCCACACTAGAGCATAGGTTGACACAACAAAGAACGTAAGAAGAGCATTAGGATGATAGGAAATTGGCATGGCTAAATAGATTTAGGGATTGGAATGAGACCTTACTTGTGAAGAAGAAGGAATATGCCACACATGATAAATGTGCCTGCAACAAGTATCCATCCTTGCACAACTAGGTTGAAAAAGACATTTTAATCCAAAAGATTTAAACTTTGAGTTCAGATAAAGAAGACAGAGTGGGGTTACACCATGAGCATCATACTTACATGTATACCAGCAACTACATACCAAATATTGAACACTATGTTTGGGAATGGGGTAAATGGGAGGAGGGACCAAGTTTAGAGGTAAATGCACTTTCCAAAGCATTTCCCCCCATTTGGATGATTATGAATAATGTAGGGGTGCAATTAGGGGGGGTAAATGCACTATTTGGGGTTTTTCCTAAAATACTGTATTTTCAAAAAAAAAATTACCCAAAGTACAGCATCTGCGAAAATATTTCCAAATCTATTGTCTATAAAGGCAAATATGGGCATGCACGCCCCAATTCGTTTAAAAATAATCAATAACCCTAATTAAAGCGCACACGCCCCAATTCGATTCAAAATAGCATTAAAACCCAATTGAGGTAAGATAAGTCGGATTGAGGCGCGGGCGCCCCAATTGGACTTATTGCCGCCTCAATTGGTCTCTTTTAATGGCTACAGTCTACCTCCTCTTTTTCTTTCGTCATGGTTCTCTCAGGCTTGCTGCAACAATTTTGGCAGTGCCATTATGATACTTAATTGTTGGGTATAGGCAATCCCAAGTCCTAACTAACTATTTTGTCCCCACCACCATCATGCATCCACTCCAATCATCATTGTTAAGTATAACTAGAGTACCATTAGTAGAAAATGTGAGAATTATAGATCCTATATATTGATTTGATCTCATGTTGAAGTATACTTAGTAAAATACAGTATGAAAAATTTATGTATAAAATATGTATGAGTATTTTACTTTGTTTTTAAGCTAATGTTACGTTTAATAGTGCGTTATAGTCATAAATGTATAGAATCTATTATTTTAAAAATAAATAAATATATAAATAATGGTAAATTTAACAACTTAATTCAATAAATACGAATGTTAAACGTTTTATACGGAGTACTGACTCGTTCGGAACTACACTGCGAATTAATCCTGACTAGAGCCCAAGTTTTTAAACTCTAGCCGGATGCAGTATAGGGCAAATATTTAAATTGTCAACCCGGGCCGGTACATGTACCCCTACTTCAATCGCTTATGTTGTTATCTAGCAAAACGGTTTTGGGTTTAAAATTAAGAAAACTACAAACTAAACAAGCAAGGAAAGTAAATGGAGGAGAATTCCACTTGAGAGAGCTTCACCCGGGTATTGCTCCCCTAGTCTCATGCTAAGAAGCGACAAACAAAACTCTAGTGTGAAGTACGTGTTCATACACCGCTACGTGGGCGCAATTAGTTAGGGACAAACTCCCTTAGTTGATCAATGAAGGGAAATCAACAAATATAATCAAGGGGAACTAGCTCTCTTAACCGTTAGGTCAAGGGTTGTGATTCATAGCTAGAGAGTCTAGTCGTCTTTATTGATCAACCAAGGAGATCCCTAACTCTCTCTTAGTTAGCTAATTGAGAGTCATTGCAATAAGTTAGGAAGCTAACTCACTTAACATTTCGGCTAAGGGTGACAACGATAGGCTAGGGAACCTAACCCTCTCAACTAGCCAACTAAGGATTGCAAACCAAACCCTCGGAACTTAATCCGGTCGGCGGAGAGACCTATCTCGGTGGAATCACGGCCCTACTCCGATATTTGAGATTTTGGTCTTAAATTGACCTGAAGGAGGTTACCCAAGTGGCTAAGGAGTCTAGCTCCTAATTGGACCAAGAGGGGATTTCCACCCTCTAGGTTAATTTCACCCGGTATTGAGTTAAAGCTAGCACACTCAATCATTCATGAATAATACCTCAAATATTATATAAACCACTCAATCAACACAATAGGTTCATGTTCTTGCAACCTAACACATAGAGAGACTAGGGTTCACAATACCCAAGTGAGTAGGTAGGCTATTCCATAGCTAAACAAGAGAAAACAACAAAAAGGGAAGTAGTAACCATGAAGTGATGTCAATCTTTCCTCCTTGTTGCTTGAGACACCCTTGAGATGAAGAACCTTCAATCCTCTAGCTAGGAACAAGCCCAAAGCTCCTTCTTCCTCCTTTGATAAATTCTTTCTCACTCTAGAAGAAACCCTAACCTCTCACTAGAATCCTCCTTATTCTGAAAATGAAAACGTAACCTAAAATGAAGCTCCATTTTCTTCTTCCTTTCAACTCTCCCTTTATACTGAGATCGATCTGAGTTCACGGCCTTCCAAATCACGACCGTGAAATCCTCAATGTGTCCGTGAACTCGACTTGTTGTGTTGAAATGCACTGCTTCACTCACTTGAGTTCACGGTTTTCACTCAAAGTTCACGGTCTTGGTGACCGTGAACTCTTGCGGCGTCAGTAACCTCAGAAATCGCCCTGGATGCTTCGCGGTTCACTGTTTATGGCTTCAGTTCACGGCCTTAGGAGAACGTGAACTCCAATGAGGAACCGTGAACATGGCCTGAAACCTGGACGCCTGCACTTCACTGTTACAGGGCAATTATCACGGTGACTTTGGACTTTTTTTGGTTTTTGCGCTTGTTGACCTCCAATCATCATGAAACTCGTTGTCGACCCTTCCACACGTGCTAGGACCTGAAATATATCAAAACAAGCACAACCTAGCGTGAAATATGTCGAGGGACGATGAAATGCAAAGCCAAACTATCAAGAAATGAGGGGTAAAATGTGTACACTTGGACCCGAATCAAGTACATATACGTGTATTAAACGGAGTATTTACTAACTATGTGTTGAACAAAGTGACTCATTTACTACTTATCTATAGTTAGATTCTTAATTTAATACATGTATATACGAACATATGTTTTTTTATGTATTTAAAACCGATTTCCAGATAAGGTGTGTGACGTGGTATCCTGAAGCTCAAAGTCTAACCCCTCGACTATGTGGATTAAGATTGGGGGCCTATGAAAAAACATGTCGATTTCCATCCAGTATTGTTGACAAGCCATTTTATCATTTTTAGTTTATATGATGGCTCTCATACTAAATACATAAAATTCGTATAATTTTTAACTTGAGTATTATTTATACAATTATTATATATATATATATATATATATATATATTATTTAATGTGATTTTAATCACAATAGTTAATAAAAGGAGGAGAGACCAGGTTCTTCCACTTTCATCCTTCTCCTTCCCACTCTTTGTATATAAATAAATAAATAACAAACCAAAAACACCAACTACCCAAGACCATCCATCTAAAAAAAAACTTCCCAAGACCATCAATGCATGCACCAGTCCACATGTCCATCTCCACCTTCTTTCACGACGTTCATGGAGGGAGACCAATTGAGGGGGGAATAAGTCCAACTGGGGCGCCCGAGCCTCAATTCAGTTTATTCTCGTTTCTATTGGTTTTTAATGCTAGTTTGAATCGAATTGAGGCGTGTGCGCTTTAATTGAGTTTATTTGTTGTATTGAAAGAATTGGGGCGTTCACGCCCCAATTTGCTTTTATAGACAGTAGATTTGGAAATATTTTTACAAATGCAGTATTTTGGGTAATATTTTTTAAAAATACAATATTTTAGGAAATAACCCTCTCATTAACCGCCCAATTTGGGGTGCAAATGGAGAGAAAAAGAGTGTACGAATGGATAAAAGTTAAAATTAATATATATTTTGTTATGTTTTATATGTATGATTATGTTCTGTAATTGTTGTGACTAAAAATTCATGTAATCATTATGCTATAATAATATTTATTATTATTATTATCATGATAGTAAGAATAATTATTATAATAATTAATTAATAATGATTAATAATTTTTGCATTGATTCCTAAAGACATCATTTGATATATGATGAGAAAGTTTGTCAAATTGGCTCCAACAGTTGACTCGGTCAAACAAGTGGGTCAAGATTTGTCAAGTCCAATCAAGATATGTTGGTTGGCTCAGATCTGATTACCTGATCAAATAGTTCGGAGAGTTACATGTTCGAACGTGTTTGATTGAGTTCGACGATATCCAATTTATAGTTAAACTGCGCACATAATCTTTAGAATGGTCATTTATGGTTAAAACCGATTTGATAATGTCCTTTTCACTCTGATTTAACCATCATTTTGAAAAATCAATGCTCGGGTGAGAAACATGAGCTAGTTATATGTTTGGGCCACGAATTGCTCGACCAATTATGATTTTTATTGACGCAACATAATTATTTATTAGTATATATCATTAATTACTTCTTGAGCATTAATATTTTAATATTATTTTATTAAATTATATTATTTTAGTATTTTTCATTGTCATTATTTTTATTTCATATTTATTTATGTGTGAATATTTTGTGATAATTTTTTATTAATTTGATATATTTATTTTATAATAATATAATTTACACATTTTACAATAATTTGCACCCCTTACTTTTTCATCCAAACAACAATTTACCTCTCCACTTACACCCCCAACCAACTTGCACCCTCCCCTCCCCCCAACAATTTACCACTCAATTTGCACCCCCTCGAACTTGCACCCCCTAGTTGCCAAACAAAGCGGAAAACACTAGAGGCAATGAAAAGACATTAGCAAATTCGTGCTATGAACATACATTATGATGCAATAGAAAGCAACATCAATTTCAAGAGCTTACAGAATTCGAGGAATGTCAGGGAAAGCATAATTGCAGCTACAACAACAGTGCCAGCCTCCTAAACATTAAACAAAATTGGCGAGCCACTTTTAGTAAACACAAAATGAGCACGAACATTATGTAGCACAATAATAAACTAGCTATAGGACTTGAAAGGGACAATTCCATGTTCCAACTGACACAGAATCCAGTAGGTCTTGTATGTCAGTGGAATTTCAGACGATTTC